AGTATAATAATACTATAGTAAAATAAAAGTAGTAACTACAAATGAGACAGTACTTTGTATGCATGTATAGGTAGACGTCACTGTAAAATCGAGTAGCTCTAAAGCATCATTTTCACTGATGTCTAACCGCTGTTGATTGCTAACATCAACTACAGCTGACACTGCACCCCTGAAAGCATGCACAAATGTGGACATAATTTGTTCCACACTCCTGTCATATTTGACTGCTTCCTTTCATCCTGAGACTCATCAAAGCAGTTTAATGACACCAGAAATGTTATGTAACTCCCTTACGCTCATAGAACTCCCTTACGCTAATCACATCATTTGGGGGTAGCCCTGAATGCTTGGGAGATGGCATGCCATAAATAAGACATCTTAAAACAGGCTCTGACAGCCTGATCCATCTGCTGATGTAGCAACATGATGTTGCAGAGGTAAAAATATGACCTTTACACTAGTTGAAGGTCATCCAAAGTGCTTGCATGTTCAGGTGCTTTGTCAACATGAGGAAAATCTTAAAAGGAATTTTTTCAGCCAACCAATAAACGTTCATCAGCAGAGACAAACTGGTTCAAGAATCGATCTTCAGAGATGATGCTTGTAACCCAAGCCTTTGCATTTTCCTTCCAAATAACAAGAAGCATGCCTTCAGAACAAGGTAACGTGCCCTCAAGTGCACCCTCAGTGGCACACAAAAAAAAATGGAGTCATGGTGCTTTAGTGGGTTATGATTTGAGCTATTAACCACAGGTCAGCAGATTGAACCCACGAGTTACTCGGCAAAAGATGAGACTTTCTACATCTGTAAAGATTTACAGTTCTCAGAACTCCACAGTGGTAGTTCTATCCTGCCATATAGGGTCAAACATGAGTCAGAATTGACTGGATGACAGTGGGTTTTTGAGTTTGATATAAGGACTTGAGATTAAAATCCCTGGATACCTTACCCCCAACTAATAATGTAATTCTTATGTGCCATATGTACATCTTTCCATGCCATATGCCCTGGTGCATTTTGCCCTCTTTTGAAATATAGGCTATTTCAGGCATTTTCTCCCCAAAGCAAGTCACTAGCAAATAACTTCCATCCTCAATAGCTTTTTTCAGCCTTTCAGGAAAATTACTCATAGGACCTACACCAGCACTACTGCTTCACCCAGCACCTTAGGTCATATAAATCGTCGCCTCTTTGAAACAAAGGAGCCAACCCCTCTGCTAACAAACTCGTCATTACAATCACCTTCACTTGTTGCACCTGCAGCTTTATACTGCTGAAAAGTCTCCAAGCCTTTTCTTGTGCTAAATTTAGTAAGGCTAATAGGTATATTGTGCTGATTTTGGTCATCTAGTTAAATTGATAATTTAGTTAAATTATCAATCACTTTTCCATTTCAATTAATAAACCACTGCATTTCTTAGTAATGCTGATCCTGTTCATCAGGGCAGTCTTTCATAGGCTCCATTGTTCTCACTTTATCCTTTAAAATTGTTGACTGCCTGTAGCTTAACACTTTTCCAATGTTTGATGGCATTGCACCTCTATCTGGCAGCTTCCTGTCAATGTACTACTACAACTAGTTTGCTCTCTAGCAAAATTTTGTTTGTGTGTGATACTAGTGATATTGCTTTATAACTTCCACATTCTATTTGGTCACCTTTCCTTGAAATGGTCACAAATATGGATTTCTTCTACTCAGTTGGCCAGGTAGCTGTCTTCCAATGTCTTGACACAGATGAGTGAGTCCTTCCAATGCTTATGAAACACTTCCATTGATATTCAGTCCATCCCCAATGCCCATTTTTTGCCATTGTGTTTAGTGTACCATAGACATCTTCCTTCGATGCCATCAGTTCTTCACCATGTGCTACTGAATTTTACCAATTCTTTTTGGTAAAATTACTTTGTATAATCTTTCCATGCTAGGTACTAGTTGTCTGCAAATCAGATCTTTTTAACCCTGTACTGCCATACAGGGTGTAAGAAATCCATTTATAAAATGTTATTGAAAAACCTCCCTGGCAGTGGAGACCCAAAGCCCATCTGTAAGCAACTGTACATCCCCTTACAGAAGGGTCTCAGGGAGGAGACGAGCAGGTCAGGGTGCGGTGCACCAACGATGAAACATACAACTTTCTCTAGTTCTTTAATGCTTCCTCACCCCTACTATCATGATCCCAATTCTACCTTACAAATACAGTTAGACCAGAGGATATACACTGGTACAGATAGGAACTGGAAACACAGGGAATCCAGGACAGATGAACCCCTCAGGACCAGTGGTGAGAGTGCCGATACTGGGAGGGTGGAGGGAGGGTGGGGTGGAAAGGGGGAACCGATTACAAGGATCTACATATAACCTCCTCCCTGGGGGATAGACCACAAAAAGTGGGTGAAGGGAGACATCAGACAGTGTAAGGCATGACAAAATAATAATTTATAAGTTATCAAGGGTTTGTGAGGGAGGAGGGGTGGGGGGAGGGGAAAAATGAGGAGCTGATACCAAGGGCTCAAGTAGAAAGCAAATGTTTTGAGAATGATGATGGCAACAAATGTACAAATGTGCTTGACACAATAGATGGATGGATGGATAGTGATAAGAGTTGTATGAGCCCCAGTAAAATGATTTTTTTTTTAAAGAAAGAGAGAAAGAAAGCCAACCTCCCTAGAACTACTGCCACCCAAAATGTAAGATGCACAGGGCTATATTTGTGGCCTCTGTAGGAAAAATTTGAAGAATTCAAGGAGTTTAACAGGAAAGTCAAAAGTGCATGTGATCTTTGAACTTAGGCTCAGATCCTAATCAGAAATATAATATAATGATGTTTATTTAACTAAGATTCATCTTAGTCTTAGAATATTCAACTAGATTCTCGTGTTAACAATGTACATGTTTCCACTGAGTCGTGTTCAAAGCTCCGTGGTTCTTTCTGTCTGAGTTTCATTCTCACCATCAATACGAATCTACTCAACACTGGCTGGCTGCAGAACCTAGGGGACCAGATGGCCAAGCCCTGTAACAGCAGCAGCCTGGCTGGTCCCTCCATCAAGGACAAGTCTTTCACGGCCTTTTACTTCCCCTTCAGCAGTGGGTTTCGGCAATGTCTTTCCTCATCCCAACCCGGAGAAGGTCTTCTCCGACTGTGTGATATTCATTGGCTCATTTACGTCCGCATCTTCGGCTGTCACCCAACGGCTACACTCAGGTACTGCGCGCTAACACACGGAGATGCTGCCGGTGCGCGCGGGCCTCTGCTCCTGCACCAAAGACATCGAGGTGAATATGGTGCTGAAGGGCTTCCCCAGTGCCTGCAAGCTGATGTCTGCCTGCACCTCCAGCGCCAAGAGCAGCCTGCCTGCGGGCCCTAGCCATGAAGTTCAAGACTACCCTTGCACCACCTGGGGACACGCTAGTGCATGCAGGGGACCTGCTCGCTGTCCTCTACTCTGTTCCCGGGACTCTATTGAGATACTGCGGGAGAAGTGGCTGTGGCCCTACAAGGGAAAAAGGACATCTTTACAGAGCCCCTGAGCTTGTCTGCATGGCCCCTGCGAGGCCCAGGGCCACCTGGGCACCCTCACCTACTGCGACCTGCACTGGAGTCATCACGACGACTTACTCCAGATGCTGGACATGTCACCTGAGTTCTCTGACCACTTCTGGTCCAGCCTGGAGATTACCTGCCACCTGCGAGCCACTAACGTGATCCCTGGTTCTCGGCAGCACAGAGCTTGAGGGCTTCAGCCGGCAATGCAGGCGCAAGCAAATAGGCAAGGACAGGGAACAATCAGGGGAGGTGTCGTCCCTGGGGTCTGGCCAGGCAGGGACAGGGCCAAGTGGCCAGGGCCAGCCAGAGGGGACAATGGGGGAGAGCCCATCTAGTGGTCCCTCCAGCCCTGCGAGCAGTGAGGATGAAGGCCAAGGCCGGGGTTGCAGCCCTCTGCGCCTGCTGCCTTCTCCAGCCTCACCCTCCTGGAGGGCTGCCCAGGGAGGGGCCCTTGGGTGAGGATGGTGAGAAGCACCGTGACACTTGTAACCCACTATCAGGAACCTTCTCAGGAGTGTCCAACATCCTCAGCTTCTAAGGGGACAGTCGGGATACGAGGAGCAGGAGCTCCCTCGCTGCCTTGCTACCATCGCCACCACCCCCAGCCTCCTCACTACCCCCTTTTCAGCCCAGGCGGAAAGGCGTGGAGACTCCAGAGCCAGCTGAGTGCGGACATGGCTACTGTACTACAGCTGACAGATGGCAAGGCTCTGCCTGCCGACAGTGCTGTGACCTCCCAGGGACCTGGTCTCACCTCCACCTCCTCTCAGACCCATTCCCATCCTCGCTCTGGACTAGCTTTCTCTGGTTTCCCGGTTCATGGCATGTGAGGAACTCCCCCCAGAGCTCCCCCAAGTTAGACCAATGGACCCACCCTTCTTTTTCCCTGCAGGGCCAATGGGGGTCCCTAACCCCCAGCTCCTGCAGAGAATGGCTCAGATCCAGGCAGTTAGTGGGACTGCCCAATGTGGACATAGGGCACATCCAGGCGCCAGGTCTGGCCTAGGCCCCTCTCCTTCAATGCCCAGGCGCTGGTGGCCATGGCTATAGCCCAGCTCCTCCCAGCACTCAGGACCATCTCCTCCCGCAGTCTCCTGGGCCCCAGTGGGAGGAGCAGGGGCAGGGCCTGGTAGTGGAAAGGGGGCTTGTGGTCCCACCCTGTCCTGGGAGCATTAGCGGGTCTAACTGCTCAGAGGCACTGGCCGGGACTGTAGGCACCTCCAGGACTTCTCTGCTATTTACTGCTCTTATTTTTAAAGATCATATAAAGTTCAAATAATTAATGAGATGAAAAATGATGATGAGTAATAAATAATTGTCCTGAACATAACACAAACAAAAGTAACTTGAAGAATGTTTCATTGTTGCATATGCAATGATAATTTGAATATCTAAATTTCATAAAACGTTTTCTCTCCTCTGTATATTCCATTCCGAATGATGACATGAAGACCCAAGAGAGAAAGAGATGGGTAATTTGGAATTATTTTATTTTATGTTGAGAAATGCAGCATATTTTCCTCTATAAATCTGTATGTGCTAACCTAATATAAACAATTTTTATCTAGTATGTATAGGATAAGCCAATGCCCTCTTGGTAGTTTCTTATTTAAATTTATTATATGAGTAATTAATCAATTATTCAGTAATGGGGGAAGCTCTAGTTAAAATCATTATGTGAGTTAAGCAGGTCGACGTTGATTAGCCAGCTAAAAGATTATTCTATAAGATTCAAAGTTTAAGAGAAAAGCATATATCTATGCTACAAGAATGCTTCTTAAATGCCATTTGATAGGAAGTCGTCTGCCTGAATGCACAGACACACATGAACCAAAATCTGAAAAGAAACAAACCAGGAGGATTCATTTGCACCTTGGTCCCAAGGTCAGTTTGAGTTGTGAAAAGACCCACTATGCCTTGGAGACATCAGTAATAGGGAACAAAGCTTTGACTCCTGTGATTGTCTAGTGAAATAATGAAGTGAGACTCAGGCTGATTGTACAGCCTAAATAACTGCTAGCGATACACATTATCAGTTCTTGTGACCTCTACAACACTTCCACATCCTTCGGCGTGGATGGATGGTGTGAACACAAAGGTGAAACCTAGAGGATAGAGCTATAAAGAACTCTGCTTCATTTTTATATGCAAAAAAGGCGTCAAGTTAATAAATAACAAAAATAATTAATCAGGTACTAGTCTCCTTTCTCCGTATTCTAATATGTCATTTTAAAAGCAACTCAAGAGGAGGGGGGTGTTTCTGTTTGAGTTGTAGTCTTTTAATTTAAAAAAAACTTCTTGGAAAAAATGTGCACCAGAAATTTCCCTATGATCTAAATTGTTTTACTTGGTTACAATATGTAAATAATATTGATCTACTGCTATAACATAAATTGCTATTTCCTCAAAAAAAAAAAAAGCTGCCATCAAGTTTATATCAACTCATAGACCTTCCTAAAGGTCTTTCTTTCTTTCTGGAAGAATTCATCCTGCACATTGGTTTCATTTACCTATAAGACAACCAGAAACGCTGGTTGCTATCAACAAACTTTTTTCCATAAAAGCCTAAATGAAAACTCTGTCACTTCATTCAATTAGTAAGCCCTCTTCAAGTTGAATTTAGCCTACATGATGGTACCTATTTTAGCACATAAGATATATATTTTTCCTACATTTAAAATGTCGAATAAACATTGAAATTAGTTCAGAAATGGTGCATTCTTTATGAACCCATAAGGAAAAATGAATGAATATGCCCTAAAGCTTTGTCGCAATTGAGTGAGTCATTTTGTAAGATACGTACTAATGACTCTGGGTGTGATGTGTCTGCTGTCCACAGTCCAAACTTCATAGAGGTACAACTTATGACCATCTTCAGGATGGAAAATCCAGAAACAAAGAGCCCTGCAGATTACCTCCTGCCTTTGGATTCCAACAAAATTGAAAATCATGGAATCATGGAGAACAAACAACCAGGAATTTCTCCCATAACTACAGAACTCAAAAAGCTGATCAGCAGAGCATTCGAAGAAGACCAGTCCTTGGACATGGGGACAATTCAGTTCATTGATGGTGAGTTGCTGGTCTCGTATTTCTGGGTTTATCTTCATGCTGGTCAGGTGATAAAGCTGTGTGAATGCTTCATTGCTCCTGTCATGTTAACTGGACCTTGCACAGTTACTGTCGCAGGTACATCACAAACAGTAACTTTCTGCCTTAACTCACTGCCTCTTTGGGTTTCATCTGATAAGCCTTTGGTGACCTTCACAATAAGAGCAGCTCTAGTTGAGTATCATGGTCAACCATTGGACAAAGCACAGTGAAGAACCATGGAGAATTCAGTTCTTGGCACAACCCAAGCTGAATCCCTCCTCTATATGACCCAAGTCCCAGCAGGAAACAGGTTGTGTTAGGTACCACCAAGTCAGTTCTGTACCATAGCAACCGTATGCACAACAGATCAAAACACCGCCTGATCCTGTGCCAGCCTTACAATGGTTCCTATGCCTGAGCCCATTGCTGCAGCCACTGTGTAATTCATCGCATTGGGGGCCTTCCTCTCTTCCCTGCCCGTCTGTTTTACCAAGCATGATGACCTTTCCAGGGACCGGTCTCTCCTGGCAACATGTCCAAAGTCTGTGAATGAAAGTCTCACCATCTTTGCCTCTGTGGAGCACGCTAGCCATACTTCTTCCAAGACAGACCAGTTTGCCCTTTGAACAGCCATGGTACTTTCAATATTCTCCTCCAGCACCACAAGTCAAATGCATCCATTCTTCTTTGCTCTTCCTTATTCAATGTCCAAATTTCACATGCAAAAGAGGCAATTGAAATAGCTTGGCTTGGGTCAGGGGCGTCTCAGTCTTCAAAGCAGCATCCTTGCTTTTCAGAAGACAGGTGGTGTGCCCAAATTAGGATAATTTTGTATAATAAAAATATTGTCCCAGGCTTAAGAAATTAGCCCTTCATTTATAGAGACCCAAATAAATGCATTTACATATATAAATATATTTATATATGATAATGGGAAAATAGATCTATGTGCATAGATGTATAGGTTTGGTATTAAGGGAGCATATGGACATTGGGCCTCTACTCAAGTACTCCCTCAATGCAAGAACACTTTGTTCTATTAAACTGGCATTTGATGATGCTCACCTTCCTGACATGATCGCTGAAGACAAATGGGTGCATAAGCAAATGTGGTGAAGAAAGCTGATGGTGCCCTATCAAAAGCTATAGCATCTGGGGGTCTTAAAGGCTTGAAGATAAACAATCGGCCATCGAGCTCAGAAGCAATAAAGCCCATGTGAAAGAAGCACACCAGCCTGTGTGATCACGAGGTGTCAAAGGGATCAAGGATCAGGCATCAAAGAACAAAAAATCACATCATTGTGAATGAGGTTGAGTGCAGAGTGGGGATCCAAAACCCATCTGTAGGCAACTGGACATCCCCTTACAGAAGGGTCACCGGGAGGAGACAAGCCAGTCAGGGTACTATGTAGCAACGATGAAACATACAACTTTCCTCTAGTTCTTTAATGATTCCTCCCCCTCTCCACCACCACCACCACTATTATAATCCCAACTCTACCTTACAAATCTGGCTAGACCAGAGGATTTGCACTGGTACAGATAGGAACTGGAAACACAGGGAATCCAAGACAGATGAACCCCTCAGGACCAGTGGTGAGAGTGGCAATGCTGGGAGGGTGGAGGGAAAGTGGGGTAGAAAAGGGGAACCAATTACAAGGATCTACATATTACCCCCTCCCTGGGCTACGGACAACAGAAAAGTGGGTGAAGGGAGACATCGGACTGTGTAAGACATGACAAAATAATAATAATTTATAAATTATCAAGGGTTTGTGAGGGAAGGGGGCGGGAAGGGAGGGGGAAAATGAGGAGTTTATGCCAAGGGCTCAAGTAGAAAGCAAATGTTTTGAGAATGATGATAGCAACAAATATACAAATGTGCTTGACACAATGGACGTATGTATGGATTGTGATAAGAGTTGTATGAGCCCCCAATAAAATGATTTTTTTAAAGAAAAGAAAAGAGCCCTAGTGGTGCAATGGTTAAAGCATTCCTATGTGCCCATCTAGCAGCCAGCAGCTAGATGTGGATGTCTGCTTCCAGACACTGCTGCCTGCGAAACCTTATGGGTCCGTTCTACTCTGTCCATGCAGGTCAGAATCAATTCTGTGGTACACAGCAGCAGCAGCAACATTCTTTAAGAACAGGTTATTGCTACTTTCTCCCACCTATTCTATTTTACTGTCCACTACCAAAGAAATAAAGAAGAAACAACCAAACCTTGTGATTTTTCACCCACAGACACCACGGGGTCATTGACAGGCTCTGCTGCCAACATGCAACCCGAGTTCTCGACGACCCTTGCGGGTCCCACAAAAGTGAGTTTAGGGTCTCTTTGTCCTTCACATGTCCACCAAAACTCCCTTTACGGTCTGAAAAATTCCCTTTGCAATGCCAATTATGATTATTTTCTGAATAAGCAGTATCAGTTAAACTACTTCCAGAATCTGCCTTAATAAAATATCTGAATACACAGTATCGGTTAAACTACTTCCAGTATCTGCATTAATAAAATAATGCAATTTCGTCTTGAAATACCCTAAAATTCACAGCTTCCTGCAATTTATTTAGATCTTTGTTTTGATTAGTGTTAGATTTTATGTCTGCTTTTGATAAAACACATTATCAAAAACTGAAAAGAATCATTAGAGCAAAAGATATTATTTATCTTTGACCTTCAAAACTCAATGTCAACATAGGCATACTTAATAAATTTGTTTTTAAGTTTCAAAGTCTTATCTAAATATTTGTTTGAGGAAGTTTTGAGTACAAAGTAATGCTCTAGAATATAAAATAATAAGTTCAGTCATTCATTTTCATATTTCATTTAAAGTTAAACTCAATTTATGCCCAAAGCTGTCGTGATGCTCAAAAGAAAGGCGCCAGGATTTCAAACATTCACCCACAATTCCAAGTACTTGAGTTACATTCATCCAACTCCGGCCTATTTGGTGAGCCAAGAAGCCAACAGAGCATTCTGTGCCCCTGGCTCATTGTGTGCTATCCTTCTATAACCACCTTTCTGCTTCAGAATCTTCTTCGACAGTGAACTATCAAATGATATAATTTAATTTGAATGAGAAAAATACAGTGTACAACCATAAACTATTCCTTCTCAATATCTGTCTTGCTAAATTTATTCTTTAGGATGCTGCTTTGAGTTCAGAACTTCCATTTGATCAATCCAGGTATGAGACAGTTGACAGAACCGAGCATGACTTACGAGGTAAGTCTCTTCCCACCAAATCTATGTTAGCTGCTAACATCCCCCTTGGGGAATCCATCTTTGTCACTACCTCATAGACCGGTGACAACGTCTTTTCTGCTGCTACAGGAATGTAGCATCATTTGCCTACACCAGCACTTCCAATGGAAGTTAACAGTTAGTGGAACCAGCCTCCTCTAAATAGGACCAAACTGAAAACAAAACTCACAGCCATGAGTGGATTCCAACTCGTAGTGATCCTGATTGTCCAGGCAGAACTGCCCCTGTAGGTTTCCAAGACTATAACTCTCTTTACAGGTGTAGAAAACCTCATCTTTCTCCCAAAGTGTAGCTGGAAATTTCGAATTGCTAAGCTTGTGGTTAGCAGCCCACAGAGTTACAGGACACCACCATGGCTGCAGCAGGTGCACACCTTAAAGAGCCTTACTTTCACTCTAGCTCTGACAGCCTTGTCCTAGGGATCGAGTGAAGAAAACTCAAACCACAGGAGCCCCAAATGCTACCCACCCAGAACAGCAATCTCTTCTTGGTTTCCAAACTCAGAGTCTGTCAGGAGATGGTAGCTCAAAGGTCCAACTGTGATAGGCAGCAATGAAAACAGGTGGATTGATCCTTTACAGTCGATACATAAACAATTTCTTTACACCACATATGAAGAGAAAGCTATTGTGTAAAGGCTGACTTTGATATTGTCTAATCTGTTAACAATGTGTTTCTTTAAGGAAAACTAGCTCAAATGTATTGATAAGGAAGGGTGTGCTTTAACTCGAAAGTACTTTGGGTTCTTTTTTTCATTTCTGAGAATGTTAATTTTTGAGGCAATATCATCAGTCTCACGGGTTAAGAGAGAGCTTCGGCAATAGATGAAAAGAAAAATAAATTATCTGCAGCAGAGTCGTCCTTTCATGCCACCAAGGGCCCCTATGCTTTCTGGTTCACAGATCTCTCTGGTAATGCTACAAATGTACACGTCTCTAGGGACACACAGATCCAGAATAGACATCTGATAAAGATGTATAAGAATTTTAAGTGCAGATGCCAGATGCAAGCTGTTGTAACTTGTATTTTTCATAGGATTGTTATTTTGTTAGGTTTGAGCTTGCATTATAAAATTCTACAGGCTTTAAGTGTTCCACCTCAACCCTATCTTTTCCATAAACTCTGTACAATTATTAGTATGCAGGTTTATGGCATGCAAGATTTTTCAGAAATGCATAGTATATAGAGATGATAGCCAATCCAAATACACTAATTGGAATTGGCTTACATGATTACCAGTGAATAAATGTTCATTGCATGATACAATTACCTGTTATCACATTATAAACTACCTCTAAATTTAGTCACTTAAAACATGAGTCATGACCAGAGCAATGAGCATGATTCTACTCTGCTTCATGTTGTGTCAACTGGGGTATCACAACTGGTGCTGAAAATTGACTTCCAAGACGGTCACTTAAATGGGTAGCTAGTGATTGCTTAACTAGAGTTATTGGTTAAGAATCTCATTTCCTCCCTGTAGAAGCTTCTCAACAGGGCGCTTGAGCTTACTCACAACATAGAAGCTGGAGTCAAAGAGCCAATACTCTACGGAAAGAAAAAGCTGCCAATCTTTTGAGGGCCCAGAAACACATACTTTTCTCCCATTCTAATGACTAGACAGCCATAAAGTCTTTCTTGATTCAAAAGGTGGGAACATATATCCTGTCTCACGAATAGGAGCCATATCAAAGAATTTCAGGTAAATTATAATCTATCATAATCCACATCAACCATTCTTTCAACACCTATCTCATTTAAGAGTGGGTTCCCAAAAAGCACACCAAAACTTTTGGTTAAATAATTGGTATTATTGCTCACTGAATTCATCCCTTTCATTAAGATATAATAACATCTTATAATACAATCAGCATTTCAAGTAGGCTAATAAAAAGAATATTAACCAATGATAACAGCATTATTATATTTTAATTGCTTTACTGTTCTTATTCTATTTAGACATTCCTTCCATTCATCAATACACCACAGAACACTGCACCTGAAAGGCTCTTAGAGATAGTCTAGTTAAACCAGTTTTTCACAGATGAGAAAATCCAGGAAAGAGATGTGAAGAACCTTGTGCAAGGTCACACTGTAATGGTTCCGGAGTCAGGACCCTCATTAATTTCCCTTCACATAGATACTTAAGTTGAACTTAAGGATCTTCCATCCTTCAAAGCTGTTCCCTCCAGCTTGCTTTGCTCTCGGCCCACAGCCTACTTTCGCTAGTTCACTACCCTGGCGTTTTTGAATCCTCTCCACTATCTCCCCTCTTAATCATCACAGTTACAGCTCTCACCACAAATTAGAGATACAACTTTGACCCACACCACAGAGGGCCTCCTAATTAGTCGATTCAGCAGCTTTGTTTCCAGCACTGTCTAGACTCTTGATTTCCAGCCCCGTCTTGAAGTGCCTTCGTTAGGCTTCCACAGAGAAACTCCTTGTCAGATCTTCATCCTAGTTCCCGCACTGCTCATCCTCCTAAAGGCTCTTATTAGATTTTGGCGGGTCTCACTTATTAAAATGTTACCTCATCGGCAGGCTTGGCAATAAAGGAAAGTTCTATTAATCATGCAATTCTAGGTCTTCGTGCTTACAAGATGGAAACTGCTTAGCAGAAAGAAATATAAAACTCCTGTGGATCCTCATAAAGAGAACGTAGTGAGCTGTGGGAACAATATCTGGTCTGCATCAGCTTTGCTACCGTGTGCGCCCAGTGTCAAGGTCTTTCTCAGTGGCCCTCACAGGACACGCACCGTAATGTGCCAAAGCGCGCGCCATTGCTCTCTGCAGTTCTGCCAGTTCGCCGCACTTTGGGGTGTTACAGTGCCTAACAGAAGCGTGTATAAAATTCATTCAATGCTCCCTAAGTAAAAATCCTATCTTATAACTGAGCTGGTGATTAGTATTGCTGATTCTGATCTAGAATCCAAACATGCTATGTTGCCAATTAAGAGCAGATCCACACGCTTTCCTAAACAGCCCAGCCAGCAAGAGGGAAGACATCTCTCTCTCTCTTTAAAAAAAAAATCATTTTACCTGGGCTCATACAGCTCTTATCACCATCCATGGTGGGAATGATATCTCTTAATGAAAAGTAAAGAACCTACCAAAAAGCATCCCGGATTAAAAGGCACCCACTTCCGCACGGAAATGAGCAAAAGGAGAGCGCTCGGAGCCACACGACCGCTTCCCTCTGCTAGAAGAGAGTTTCTTCTGGGCTTCACCCATGCACAGGCACAATGACAGCCAGCGCTCCCAAGTTCTGAGCCATGGTAATACTGAGATAATTTTAGCACGAAGAATGTTAAGGTTAGTGTCACTAAACGCCCACCAAGCCATTAAAATCTCAGCAAAGTGCTCATAGAAATCTCTCAGCTTATTCAGTTGAATTTAGCAGCTAATCCCCTGAGATAAAGTACATACAAAATATGCCTGTACAAAACTAAATGAATCAGTATGGGGTATAGAATTTGGAAGTCTTCTATTATAAACAGTTTTAGGAGAGGTGATCTCAAGCCATTCTTTGATTCTGGCTGAGAGTGACCCAATGTAGGATTTCCAAGACTAAATATTTGCCAGAGCAGACAGCCTCATCTTTCTCCCTCAGGCAGTTGGTGGGTTTTGAACTGCTAGCCTTTTGGTTATCAATCCAGTTTAAAAACATTCCTATTTCATAAAAAATGGGTGCTAAAGCATAAAATAGAAAATGCCAAATTCTATCCTTCACATATGGGTATTCAACTTCTTCAAAAATAGCATTAAATCATTAAAATATTGTGTTGTGTTCTAAGCAGCATGGAGCATAATATTGCTATTTTAGCTCATCGGGTTAATCAAGAGAAAAATTGTGTAAGGCCTTCTCTCAAATTATGGGCTTTTCACTTGCTAGACATTTAAAATGTCAGGCTGGTCTCTTAGCAAACAAGATTTTAAAACGTGGTTTAGCAAATGTAGGCATAGCTATTCCACAATTGGACAGTGTTTTGTCTTGTCTTCTCCTATAAGGGAAACCTATTAAAATCAGCATGCTTCCCATTTTTCTCCATCTGACAGCAGCCTTTGACTCCCTGGAAAGGAATCTGTGGGATGAGCTAAACAAAGACAAGCCCACCACGACTGCTCCAGGAGGTCAGAGACTGGTCCCAACTGGCGCCCAGCCAGACGCTTAGCCATGTATGAACTATATGTTGAATGAATTGAAGGAGTACGTGAATTTATATCATACTGCATCCATGAAATTCAGAGTTAATGAGAATAATCTGATGTTTTCTTTGTCTCTGGCAACAGAGAAGCTCAGAGCCAAATCTAAGGCCTAGGAAGAGTATTCTGCCATAAATTCTGGTTATACCACTGAAAATCAACTTTCACGCACTTAGATCTTTGTGCAACTTTCTTTCTCATTCTTGAGATATACCTTCCTTGTTTGAATGTGGTAACTTCCTGTTGCTGTTAGTTGTCAAGTCTATTCTGTCCTATGGCAACTTTGTGTGTGCAGAATACAACTGCTCTCAGTGGGATTCCCATGAAACAGACTGTTGGGCCTGATGTCCAAAGTGCCTGCAGTGGTGCCGAAACACCAACCTTTAGCTAGTCAAGCTCTGAACCAGTATGCTATCCAGGGACTCCTTAGTAAGGCCATCTCTGAATTAGGACCAATTTACTACAGCTCTTATTTGCCTTTTAAATTATGTTAATTGCCCGATTTACAACAGATTCTTCATTACAATCATCTTCCCTGGAAGCTTCTTAAATCATGGAAAAGGCTTCAAACCTTTTCTTGCGCTAAAGCAGGTGAGAATCTTTATTTTTTTTAACCAAGCACCATTTGGTTATTTATAATATCATTCAAGGGCCATACATTTAATTAACTCACCCCTAATGTGGTGACTGAACCTGCTTCTCTTTGATGAGGCATAGGATGTTAGCTAGTATTAAATATACAAGAGCCTTCTATG